TGGTACATTTCGTTCGCGTATTTTTCTTATGCTTTCTCTCGTCCAGATGCCCTCCTCCATCCCGAACGGCGTCGTCTTCTCGATCCCCACTTTTCTCTTGGTGCAGGCTCACGCGGTGCTTGGTGGGAACCTTTTCGGAGAGCGCGGGAGATGAGGCCGTCCTGGCGATAAAGCGTGAGCACGGGTCGTGGCTAGAGTTACCGCCCTCACTCTTCGCCTCTCCTTCTACCATAACTCTGGTGTGAACTCCCCTCTAGCTCTCCTTCGACCTCGGTAGCCCTACCGAGGCGACCACCGTCGGTGGATTTCTCTCGGTCCTCCGGCGCTTCGATAGTATATGCCACCTGCGCTCTTTCCCTCCTCCTTCTTCAGTGTTGATTTTGATGATTTGTCTGTGGATTTTGCTTGTAATGCCAAGAAATTAGGGTTCTTGGTTTGACATCCTCAGATCTGTGTGATGCTATACCTGATTTATCTGTTCCTAGAACAAATCTGTACATGATGCTTCGTATTTGGTGTATACATCATGTTTTATGTAGATCTTGTACATGTTGATGCATATTTTATTTTACACACTAAGCAAAGTGCCTAGAGGTTAGTGATGTTGATTGTGTAATAATATATGCTGGATGAGCACCCTTTGGTGTGTCAGTCGTGTCTTTCATAGTTTATTTTCTCTGATTTTTTGCTTGCTAAGCATTATACATCCATGTTACATGCTCCCTTTCTAATGTTGCCCTCCATCATGTTGGTAGACATGGCCTTTAAAGCTAGGCGCAGGGCTGTCGCTACTGTGGTTGTTGCAGTGGTTGCTTGGTTTTTCATGTGGTTTAGGAGAGTTGAAGATTCTCGCTCAGTCACCTATGGTCCCATGGCTGAGAGGGACAAATAGAGGATGAACAACCTTAGATACATCTATGAATCTGATGATGTGCACTGTGTCAACCTTCTTAGAATGAAGAGGACCCCTTTTTCCAACTTTGTGGCCTTTTTCTGTAGTAGAGAGCTTGTCACTGACAGCAACATGCATCTGTTGAAGAACAAGTAGCCATGTTCTTGCATGTTGTTGGTCCCAAGCAACTGTTGTAGGCATGCCTACCGGATGGCTGGGATGGACATATCGCACGCTTTCATGGCAGCCATGAACTTGCCTCAGCAATTTGTGTTCTTATTTGTCACCTAGGATGATTGCAGTTAACTTGTAAGATGATCATAAGTTAGTTTGTAGTTAGTTGAGGCCTGTATTTTTTTGTGCCTATGATGTCAACCATTTTTTTGACTGAGGCTGATACAATTGTGAGATCCTTTTCATGCCTATGAAGATAACATTGCTAGTTTGAGTAATGGATTATGCACACTGATGACCTTGGACTTGTGAGGTACTGGAGCATTGTTTCTTCTATCTTCTACTTATGCTTGTCATGGTTGTTATCAAACCATGAGAGACATCCATGCCCAAGCAACAGCTGGGCGGTTGTGATGATCTGATGGCTGGGCTGGACGTCTCTCATAGTTTCATACCGATCATGATCTTGGTTTTCTACTATCTGTTTGAGGTTTGTTGTTGTCTATGTTTCTTAAGCTCCAAGTTCAAGGTCAAATGAAAAGGCAATTAAATCTGAGGTAAATCGATTGAACTAACCCTCATCTTATCAACATCTTATACTTGCTTTTATGTGTTTTTAAGGGGCACATGGCTTGGTATGTTGTGTACCACGGCAAGGTTCCTAGGGTATATGCAACCTAGGCTAGATGCAATGCCAGGTAACTGGTTTTAAAAACAACAGCTACAAGAGCTTCCCTATCAAAGAAGAGGCAGAAGCATCATACTTGGAGTTCATGGGTTGTGAAGATGACAAAGTTTTTGTCAAGCCTCCACCAAAGGTGGTCAGGAATACACCGGTGTTATTTGTTGTGGCTATGGTGTAGTCTTTTTTCTTGCTGGTGCTCCTGTGGTTCGTTCTTGCTCGTTGCTACAACTGCCTGTGATGCTCAAAATGTGCCGTGCAAACTTGTAATGACAATGACCTTGTGAGGTACTGTGACCCTAATGTTGTTAACTATTATATGCCAGGACTGTTGTATGGTTCAAATTTGTCATTAGATGCTCCAAGATCATTGTCGATGAAAAGGCACATTGAACTGAGGCAAACAAATCCTCTATCTTGCTTGTTTTCCTGAGAAGTGTGGTAACCTCACCAAAACCATACCTTGGTGCCCAAACATGTTGTCGTGCGACAAACAAAACAAAGCTAGGGGCACAACTTCATACCACTTAATGCTCCATGCTGGCAACCAAACGAGAAGGAAGTCATCCAGTACGCAAGCCTCAAGTGCAACCAAACACAGGAGGGTGAACGGTGTCATCTGGGCTAGGAAGAGCCTGGATGGGGCCTTCATCCGGATGACCGAGCTCGGAGCAACCAATCACGCCCATAGTACACGCAACAATGCAGCATGAACAGTGTTGGATGATAGACTGAAGATGGACTAATCATGAACTAATTTAGTGGTTCTAACTACCAATTTTTTAGATGGACTAATTGGCATTAATTAATTAATGATTAGTTCATATTTGGCCCTTCAATTTTTGGTATCCAAAATCAGGACTGATTTTAATTCGAGGGTCGAACCTCATTCTTCAGACCTAACGTCCTTATTCAACCTCGATAAGTGTGTCTTTAGTTTCGGGACGACGTGGAATGGGTCGGACCTATCTCAGTTTTAAGGGTTGGGTTGAACCCAATATGTGTTTGGTTTAAAGGGTGGAGCCATTTCATTTTTTTATTTGGTGTGAGGGATAGAGTGGGATGGAATGGATAACTTTTTCAACTGCATTAGTTGCTGGTTATCATGGGACCCAGCTATCATTGTGGGCCCATGTTGTCAGCCACTCCTATGTGTTCTTCCTCCTACAACAGGAGTCGTGCGTCTCAATGAAGTTGCCCTACATCGCACTGCCATGGACGGAGCTCATGCCACGCCATGGCTAGGTCCTGAGCTCGCCCGCATTGCGCCACCCCGTAGTACGCCAGCCCTGCGCCATGGCTAGGGGCTGGAACTTGCCCCATGGGGCCACGCCACCATGCCCAGGGGGGCCGAGGTCGCCCCGCGCAGCCGAGGGTTAGGGCCGGAGGTCACCCTGCGCTGCACCACCCCACACCATGGCCGAGGCTCGCCCCGCATGTGCCACCCCACACCATGGCCGAGCCCCAGAAGTCGCGCCGCGCCGACATGCCTATTCACCGGAGCTTGCCCTCGCTAGTGAGGAGAAGCCCCCCGAGTAGCCACTGCGCCCACGCTCACCAACGGAGGAGCCGACGGCGTCCATCTGGGTCGAGATAATTTCTCTGATTTGGAGGTACCACGTGAATCCTCATTTAGAGGGAATATTCCCTATGCGGGATGAGCCCAACCCACTAGTCCTGAAACCAAACATTCTAGAAAATGGATTGAACCCACCCCAACCCACTTGGACCCTTGAACCAAACACACCGGACCGAAGGTGATCCAATGGCAGAAGGTGAAGCAAATTATAGGGGAGGCAAATTTAAGAAACAAGAACAAGAATTAGGAAAAGAGATCGAGGATCGAACTAAGCATGAAGATCACACTTGCTGTAGAGTAGAACAAAAGAAGAGGTTGTGATTGTCGCATCGAAAGCCAACCAACTACTTCCCCTGATAAGCAACCAAATGCCAAGATTTGAAGAGGATTAATAGATCTGACACACCAAACTCTCAGTGCCCTTTTGTCGACACTAGATCGACGTCATTGAGGTAGGAAGAGGACGAAGAGACCTTACTCCAAAACATCATCTTTGCTACCACCTCGTCGATGACACAAAAAACCAAACCCTAAATTAATAAAGATCAGCAAACCTAACCTAAAACTATAAAAGAAAAGGGATTAGGTCCCTGCTCCTCTATCTACCAGCAAGATCCCTGGTTAGGAGAGAGGAGGGGGACCAAGGTTGTATCATTGGGGATGGCAGCAGTGGCGGCGGTTGGAAGACGTACTCTTTCATCCGTTTGTGCCAAAAGTACTATTGGGCTTTGAGAAATTGATCTAGGGGTAAGGAGGGTAGGAGCCTAGTTTTACATCTATTGGGCTCTACCCCTTGTGACCTCATTAGTGACCTCCCCGTCCGTCGTCCACCCTCTGCTGTTTCTTCCCTACCCTTCCCTAATTCTAATCGACAACCTCATTGGTAACTCCTCACTCTTGGCGTTAGCTCCACCTAACTAGTTGTCCCCCACCGCCCACTCGCCACCCCTCAACCCATCACCACCGCCTGGCCCATTCCTGTTCTAAGGCCACCGGTCATGGAGTCCTCTTGAATTCTAAAATCCTAACCTAAATTCGGAGACGCCGCCTCGTCCACCTCTGCCTAGCCCATGACGACCTCATCAACAACTCTACCCACCGCTCCCTCACCTAATTTCGGTGTCATACATGAGCGTGCATCTCCTCCATAGTGTAGCAACGCACGCGTGCTCAATATAATAAAGATTTTGTCCAAACACCCTATTGATAGCTGGGCAAATATAGCCTCGCCTCGCTTCGTCGGCATAGGTAACAAAGAACTTGCATTGCAAGGCCAGGCGAGCACAAGCTGATTCGGCTCACTAGTCCACCGGCTCAACTTGCAAAGGATGGCCTGTTTGGTTGGTGCTGTAATTTGCCATGCCAAACCTTCGGCAAACGGTGGCTACGACAGAAAGTTTGGTTAGCAAAATTGAAGCTGCACTTGTGGCAAATTTTGGCAAGAAAATGAGTCTATGAAATTGTGGCATCAAACCAAACAGGTGCAAAAAAAATGTGACATGACTAACTTGTGGCATTGACACGTTGTGGTCACAAACCAAATAGACAAGGTATACAACACCGAGCCATGGAATCCCGTCCTAAGAGCGAGGGAATTAAATGTGCCTAGTCCATCAAAAAAGCAGGGATGATACCATCCCATGTCATCTTATGCCTAAATAAACTTATATCTCCTATATATATAGCATTGTGCATAGCTCTGATCGTACCTTTCCGTGGGTTAGTTTAGAGCTGACTTCAAATTCGTCCAACATGTCAGAGATGTCCAAGGCGGCGTTCTTGAGGCGCTTCAGCCACAGGCGCACTGAATCCTCCCTAATTGACCTCCTCTCAGCAACCTTGAGCACTGCCGCCATGGATTCCAAGGTGTCCTTCATGTCCTCCAGGTCGCGGCTGAAGTTCCACACCAAATTGGCTTGCTGGCCGATGGTGGAACCCAGCTTATCGCCCATGATCTTTACTAAAGCTGACGTGAGTAGTCCCGCTACTCCTGCCATGGCTGCACAGCTCTGAATCGCCCCCAGTCCCTGGGTACCCCTATGAGAAGAGGTGAATAGCAATAATGAGCTCGAGCCGCTGCTGTTCTTTAACACCTAGGAGTGATTGCTGACCGTATCTGGACTCTGGCGAGCTCCCTGAAAAAAATCAGAAATTGTACAAAACAAACAAAGTGCAAGGAGATTAGCAACCTCAAGTAAAGGATAACGCTGCATCTTTGGTCGAAACACCCGTTACTACTTAGTGAGAAAATGGCAATTTTGACATCATCAGATTTGGGCTTCGCTCGTTTGCCATCATGCAAACGGGTTTCGCTAGGATGCCATTATGAAGCTGGGTATACTAGCTGAAATGCCATTCTCTTTATTTCTCTCTAATTTAATCATTTTTTATTCCAACCAAACTTTTATTCCTGTTTTACCCCTGCCCCAAATACCTCATCCATCATTTCTTCTTCCTCACAATTCGCACGCACATCTCCCTCTGCTCCTCTCTCCTCACACACGCACGTATGCCGGCAGCAGCCGCACCAATCTCATTCTCACGGGGACCAGCCACCGCACCACCCCAACACGAGCCTACCACAGCACCACACGCACGCCAGCCCGCCATCGCTTCTCATCATCATCTCTATAATCATCATCGGTCATGATATCTCCCAAGATTTGGTTTGGTGTCATTGTGTCCAAACCGCTCCTCACTAGCAAGATGACCAACATGCCAAATCTTGTGGGTAAGCATCTCAAGAACTTATGGGAGAAGTCCTTGTCCTCCACCTTCTCACCAAGTGCTTTGAGATCATTGATAAGCAATTCCATCCGATGAAACATGTCCAGCACACTCTCATCTTCCTTCATCTTAAAGCTAGCAAATTTCTCCTTGAGAATGTATGCCTTTACACCTTTTATTGTCTTGATGCCCTCAAATGATTCTTCCAACTTATTTCAAGCTTCATGAGCCATCTCAATGTTCTTGATTTTCTCAAATGTTCTCTCATCAATAGCATCATAAATAACACTAAGAGCAATGTCATTGTTTTGGAGAAGCACTTCTTCGGCCACGGTGGGATTCTCCGGATCGGCTATCTCAATTTTGGTCTTCACCACCTTCCACACTCTTCTATTGATTGACTTGATATGCGTGGTCATCTTTGACTTCCAATATAGATAATTTGTGCCATCAAATTGAGGTGGCCTCTTGGTGTTGTTGATTTAAGCCATTTTGACATTGAAGGTTGTTAAGCCTCAAATCACGGTGACCACGGCTCCGATACCACGTGAAAGGTCCTAATGGTTAGAGGGGGGGGTGAATAGCCTATTAAAAAATTCTACAACAACACTAAGGCAAGTGATTAGTAAATAAGATGGTGAAGCGAATTTTGCGCCAGCACTACACTTGTGTTGCAAGCCACCTATCCAATTCTAAAATCTATGATTTTTAGTATATCACAACAAGGCTAAGTCACTAATTTACACCTAGGTGAGCAAGCTAGCAAAGAGAACTATAACTAAGAGATACACTAACTAGTTTCAACTACCACAAGCTCTACACAAGTAAAGGCACAATGTAATACAAGACAGTGGTAGAGAGGTATACCGCTTTGGTAAGTGATCAATCAATGAATACCAATGAATACCAAGGAGACAATCAAGACACAATGATTTTTCCTCCGAGGTTCACTTGCTTGCTGGCAAGCTAGTCCTCGTTGTGGCGATTCACTCACTTGGAGGTTCACGTGCTAATTGGCATCATACGCCAAACCCGTGACTGGGTGCCACACAACCAACACAAGATGAGGATCCACAAGCCACGCGCAATCCACTTGAGTTGCCTTTGTCGCTCTGCCGAGGAAAGCACAAGAACCCCTCACAATCACAATGATCGGAGCCGGCAACAATCACCTTCCTCCACTCGATGATCCACCAATCACCGGACCGTCTAAGTGTCGGCAAACACCAAGAGTAACAAGAACTCCACCACCCCAAATAGCCCAACTAGTGCCACAAGATGCTAGAACACTAAGCAATGCACTAGAGGCTCTCCAATCTCACTCAAGATGATGAAATCAAGTATGCAAGTGAGTGGAGTGGTGTGCTCAGCTCTCAAAGGGTGTATGCAGCTGTTAGAAGTACCAAGGGAGTGGCCAAGGCCGACCACTTGCTCTATTTATAAGCCCACAAGCAAGTAGAGCCGTTACCCCTTTGGAGCAGCTTTCTACGAGGGCACCAGACACGGCGGTGCCTAGCACCGGACATGGCGGTGCCCCTCCCAACGGTCACTTTCCAACGGCTAAAAACTAGCTATTGGGGCACCGGACAGGGTGGCAGTGGCACCGCCCCTACGGTGGTGGTGACCACCCGGCCAATCTGCCCGAGAGACCAAGTCTCTGGAGAAAAGAGGTGGTGCACCGCCCTCAGGGCGGCGATGCCCGCAATGGTGACCTCCCTATTTTCCCCCACTCTCTGGATTTTTATGGCGGTGCCACTGGACACCCATGGCGGTGCCATGGGCGTTGCACCGCCCTGCGCATGACGGTGCACACCGGTCACTCCGGTGGCCGCCTCACTCTTCCTCTTCTCTGTCGGGTCCAGGTGGGCACCGCCCTGAGGGTGGTGGTGCCCCACCAGTGCACCCCACTCTCTGCCTCCTCTGCCGGTCACCGCCACAGGGGTGGCGGTGCACCAGACAAGGCATGGTGGTGCCCCCGTGGTAGCACCCCGAGCCCGGCAACGCCTCCTTTTCTTCACATTTTCACTACCTTTGCAAATGTGCTAACACTCCAAGTGTTTCACCATCATGTGCAGTGTGTTAGCATTTTTCACAATCATTTTTCAAAGGTTAATCACTTTCTCACCGAATGTGCACTAGGCCTAAAATGCATATGCAAGTTTTCCAACACCTAGTGGCACTAGATGATCGAGTTGCCCGGTAAGAGCTCCCCTCTTAATAGTACGGCCATCTATCCTAAATGTGATCACACTCGCTAAGTGTCCCGATCACCAAACCAAAAAGCTCCTATTAAGTTTCACCTTTGCCTTGAGCTTTTTGTTTTTCTCTTTCTTCTTTTTTAAGTCTAAGCACTTGATCATCATATCCACACCATCATCATGATCTTCACCATTTGCTTCGCCACTTGGAATATGCTACCTATCTCATGATCACTTTGATAAACTAGGTTAGCACTTAGGGTTTCATCAATTCACCAAAACCAATCTAGAGCTTTTAACCAGCCAGGCCATTTTGGCAGGGTCTTAATGTCCCTTTTTCCCTTCTTCTCTCCTCCGGATACTTGCACAATGTTGCAAATATATTTTTATTACTATATTATCACCAGAAACATTGTTCGAATGCCATCATAGGTCTTCGGTCATTTTTTATCGTCAACATATGTCCCCCTGTTTTTAGGTGAAGCATTAGATGAACCTGAAACATAAGAAAAAACTAAATAGCAACGATGTCCAACTCATCGGCTACCTAGTGACTAAGGGCGATGTAAACATCGGCCATATTTATTCTAAGGGCGATAGACATATCTGTCATTGCCTGGAAAGTATTGTTTCAAATACCTCCCATTAATTGCTCTTGGTAGACACTCACCTTGCAAGGTCTCCAACACATATGAATTTCCAAACACCACTTTGATCACTTTTAATAGACCCACCTAGCTAGGCGACCACTTGCCAAACTTGTTACTTTTCACCCCAAGAGGTAGAATAGTTTTCCACACTAAATCTCCAACTTGAAAAGATTTGTTTTTCACTTTCTTGTTATAAGCTCTCGCAACTTGTTGCTTTCTTGTTATAAGCTCTCGCAACTTGGAAAGATTTCAAACTTGTTGCTTTCTTGTTATGGGCTTCACTGAGGAAGAGTTCAGGGTGTGAGAGGTGTGCCAAGGAGGCCGTGAAACTGAATCAACACCCATTGCATACAAAGTATATATGAGCTTGGCAAAGATTTGGTGGACCCAAAAGAGCTCCATAACTTGTCGACAAGAATGCATGATTTGCACGATTGGTACAATTGGCAGAGCAATGTGGGCCAAACTATGTTCAGGGCTAGTGTCATACCTGAGTTATATCATAGAGGTGAAGATACACCGTGGGTTGGTCCAAAATACCTCTTTCATGTTTTCTAGAAGCTCAGCCGCCTCGTTGTTAAAATATGAGCTGAGCTTGTGGACCATGGTGATAGGGGGTTTAGAATTGACGTTGGAAATATATGTATAGCAGTGATGGGAAATAAAAAAAAAACTAGATGTGATATTTTCTAAATATAATTTAAAGAAGGTTAGATATTTAAACAAAATCTGTTGATTAGTTTGATTTGCCTTTAATGTGGATGCATGCATCAATCTTTTCTTCGTCATCAAGTTCAGCAAGCTAGTGTGGTGGTGCAGGACCATATGGGGAGGTGCCTGATGTGCAATTGTCAGTCTTTTCATTGTATCACTTCGCTGGAGGTTTTGTAGCAGCACTGGCTCTTTGATGTGCTATGATTTTTCACTTTGACGGAGGTTTAGGTTCCCGCGAGGTGATCTTGCTGAATGATTGCTTGACGATGATCTGAAAAGTGGATGCTTCCGATTCGATTACCGGTGATATTGTTGCTTATGTCAAGTTTTTGGCAAGCAACTTTAATTTGTTTCGTTCTCTTTTCTTAAGACGTGGCGTGACTGAGATGTGGCACATCTATCGGCCAGAGCGAGTGAGTGCGTTGCTTAATTACTTCAACCATCCAGCAGTGTGTTCCTGTTTGCATATAGGATGTTCTAAACTCCAAATGTTTGTGTTAACAAATAAGGCAGCCTTGATTTTTTGGAGAAAAAAAGACACACTACAATCTTAGTCACCTTTGCCGTGGCCAGAACAGTGGGGCATCGAGGCATGCAGAGTGCGTCCAGAAAACCGCATTGGGTTAGCCAATTCTAGAAACAAAAAGATCCATGTCGTGTGTGTCTCACTGTCTGTCTCTAGAGTAAAATCAAGTCCAAGCTGTAGCA